GGTGAGCGGATCGAAAAAAAATAATAGAATTAAAAAAATATCGGTCAACGGCAATCCGTTGGACGCGACATCTTAACAATATAATTTATAACGCGTTAAGTTACGATAGCGTATTCTGTCAGATGTTGCACAGGCTAAGATTCGCGCATACGTTCACGTATACAACACACACATGCACGCATACATTATACGCGCATACATTTGTTTCATCAACGTATATTATTATTATTATTATTATTATTATTATCATTGTTGTTGGTAAAACGGCGATGTGATTCCGTGCGCGAAATCGGCGTACGGCTGGCACTTTGTCAAACTTTCCGTCGACCGCACCGCCGTGTATTCATTAATATGCAAGAATACGTGCACGTCTCACGTGTACGCTACGCGTTTCTCAGGGCTAAAAGGCTTTTAAGATGTTTGCGAATGCAAATACGAGTTTCACGACGGTTATACGTATACGTGCTGTATACACATCGGAGAGGAAGAGGCAGCAGCAGCAGTGGTACTTTTGGAAATACGCGCCGGCGGTAGAGTAATATATGGTAAGAACACGTGCGGCGGCGGCGGCGGGTGATGAGGGAGTGAACGTGCACGACGAATACACATTTATACATTCGTATACGTATGCGCGCGCGAAGAGACGACGGCGCGGAGCGGTGGCCGGGCAAGGTAAAAGGATCCTCGGTAAGACGTTGGCTTAGCTTCAACGAGCTTGTTTAAAACAGATTAAACCAGAGCGCTTTGTAATTTAGAACCGCCGGCGGTGGCTGTGGGTGCGCTGCGGACGCGGCGGCGGCGGGCGAGAGAGCGGTATACGAATACGACGCGTATAATGTATACGTATACAACGGTATCCGTGCCCACCCCCTACCCCCGAACACCGGTTACCCCGTTCGCTCACGATATATCCCACGTGTGTATACGTGTGCGCGCGTACACACACACACGCGCGCGCGCGCGCCCGACCGAACGCACAAATCCAAGACGACGGGACGAATGTGCGCACACGCGCTGTAGGGTTTGTGGTGGGGCGAAGGATGAGAGGAATTACAGGAGTGCACGTAGAGCGTGTGCAAACGGGGCAAAAGTAATTTCGGGTTTTCACCGGCGCGCCATCACCTTGGGGGACGTGCACGCGCGTATTATAGGTGAACAGCGAACGGTCGGGTGAGGGTGGTAGACGAAAAAGCTCGGAAGAGAAGCGGCCGCGGAGGAGGAGAACTTAAATAAACGTGAACGCGGTCGTACAAACGCTCACACGGGTATATCATCATCCGTATACGTGCGCATATATACGTAAACAGAAATTCACTCTCTTATATAGTTTCCCGCTCCGTCCACCTTCTCGTCTCAGCAGAGTTCTCTGCTCCTTCATCCGCGCGCCCGCAAACATAAATGTCAAAAACACGTACACCTCTTGCACACCACTGCCGCCGCATTCCACACAGCGTATTATACATCATATATGTATGTGTGTGTGCACGCAACACACACGTACACGTATTAATGTATAATGTATTATGTATGTTTGTGAAACGCAATTTTCCGGAACCCGAAATGTCTTGGCTCATGCTATTATTTAAATATATATACGCATTACACACCGGCCGAACATCCGCTGCGGCATACGGTCTTGCGAGTTTACTCGTAGAATAATAATAATAATAATAATAACATGGGCGCGACCGGAGAAATATACAGTCATAAGAGCTCGGATACTTGTAGGCCGCAGTGGTGGTGGTGGTTGTGACCGAGAAGAGTAGTAGTGCCTCATCCCTTTTATAATATACGTATATATAACTACATTATATCGTTGTGTTTGTATACGCCTTTCTACGGATTCGTATGAGACGCGCAGCGAGCACGGAGTAATGATGTTTGCCAAAGACGACGTGTAATACTACATCATTATTGTTTTCGTTCAAAAAATCAAAGCGCGTACGAAAATATTAGTGTTATAATACGCGTGTATTTATGCATTAAAACGCGGTTCGTGTCAGTAGAAAGTTCCGCCGTGTTATTCGATTTCCGGTCAGAGACAAAAGCGAAAATCCCATTTTACTATTTACTCCTTCCAGATCAAAGTATGTGAAATCAATTGGTTTCACCCAAAACCCCAAAAAAGGTTATAAATTTAGCACAATTGATTTACAGAAATTATATATATACGATCTATATGTACCGGATGCAATACGTAGATTCGTTCTTGTAATTAGCAAACATTATCTTAAAACTACAGAATTATAACACTGGAATCGATATTGTCGAGAAAAAATAATGTTTGTTAAATCTTGAAGTTTTCTTAATATTTTTTACCAGGTTTTAAAATACAGATTACGCTGATAATAATCATCATCTCGAAGATCCTTTGATTGCTTCATCAAATATGCAAACGCATTTCAGTATCTTGTCCGAATGGTATGAAAAATTGCGAATCAAAACAAATCGGTACATCTAACGCTTACACTCAAACAAGAAGTATATCCAATTATAAAATTTCACTGATTTCTATATTCAACATAGTCGGATGCTTGGGATTAATATTCGACCAACGGCTAACAAGGAACAAACATTTTCGAACTAAAATATTAGTGCTAAATGCTCGTATGCGTGAGCTCAGACTACTTTTAATTAAAAATAATTTCACCATCATAAACACCAAACTCATAATTTATAAAACATTACTTAAACCACTAAACATATAGGCTTCAGTTATGGGGCCCGGCAAAAAAATATAACACTAACAGAATATAAGCGTTTCAAATTATACCACTTCGACAAATTAAAACGCTTTTAAATGCATCATATATTTATAATTTAATGTTACTTAATGATTTCCATATGAAAACAATATAATAGGAAGAAAGAATTTTCTATTGACGCTTTGATGAAAAAAACTCCAGAACCATCGCAAAATTTTTATAAAATATCTCTTCATTCATATGATCCTTTAGGAAATCCAATCCACAGATTAAAAGGAAATTATTTATTGGTCTGTGAAATAACTAAATACCGATTTCTAACGCTATTTTAGGAAAAAACTTTTAATAATCAGTCTAGATGAGTGGCTACTTAATCAATCATTCTTGGTTCTCCATAACTTCATACCATTCTGTCCATTTTGTTCTCCCATCATATAAACTTATTGTGTAGATAATTGTATATATATTGTTTATGTAAAATAAAGAAAAAAAAATGGTTTTCAAATGAACATTTTTAGAGACAATGAGTTCCTTCCCAATTATTAGGTATATATTTATGTAATATGCGTGTTGATTGAATAATAAAAGGAAATCGGTTCTATTCATAAGGGGTATTTAATATGTAATAGGGGATAGGGATACCAATTATGATAAGTGAAAAGAGAAATATGTAATGGGTAAGAGTTTCCATTTATATTGTTAGCTGTTGAAAATCATTTGAGTTGTACAGCTGAGTGAGCTACCATACCTTTATACCTTAACTATTGTAACTAACTCAGGATAAGAATATATCTGCCCAACACTTAATATTTAAATATTTAATTTCATACATTTCTTAGAGTAAACAATAATAAATATTTTCCTAAACGGTTTGAGCACTTATATAAACGTCTTAGTCACAAGATTCGTTTGAAATGCATTGTATAGCATAAAATCTATTTGCTTTCGATGTGAAATAAATATGAATAAAATAATTAATAAATGTTAATAAATATGTTATAATATAAATATACTCATATTTGTGCTAATATATTGGTAAATTTTATAAATAAAAAAGTCATCGTATGTGGCCTGTATATTTACTATTTAATAGTATATTTTTGTTTTTATTTTTATACGATACTATTTATATCAAACTTGTTTTATTTCGACCATTGTTTAAAAAAAAATATATTGTGGTCGTTCATTTCTGGAATGGTTGACTTAAAACTAGTGATCGTGGAGTGTAGTAAATAATCATATAAAAAAAAATAAAAAATTAGTTTATACACAGAAATAAATAAATAAATAAATGCTTGGTCTGGAGTATTATTACATTTGTAAAGTATGATCGGTTTCGAATTAAATATTCTTCACTAGGTATATATAAAAACAATAAAACCCTGATTTTATTTTACTTAATTTTGATTTTGTTTATACTTGATTAAAAGTATTGAAAACATTTTTATTATTCTACTAAAAAATAGATAATTTTGAAGACTTGCAAATCAATAATTTGAAGTACTATATGATTGCTCCAATCACATCCGTTATTGTCGAGCATTCGTTTTCGACGTATAAAAATTTATTAGCGAAAAATCGTCACTCATTTGTAATCGAAAATATTCGAAAAATGTTGTAACACAATTATACTTATTTGGTTAAGATTTAAAAATGAATAAATTATTATAATTAAAATAATAATATATATAAAATATAATATATTAATAATAATAATATATTTTATATTATATTATAATATAAATATGATATAATATATATATATAAATAAAAAAGAAAAAGAAGGAGAAATAAAAATAATAAGTAAATTTGTATTTTTTAGAATTCTTGCATATTTATAAAGCATGTATGATAATTTTTTAAAGACATATACACAAAAAATTAAAATGTAGAACAGGTGTAGTTATAACTATTTTAATTTATTTAAGTACACAGTATTTATTTTTATGAAGTTTTCATAACATTTTTAAATTTAAATAGAAAAAATTATCATAAAGGATAATATAACATAATTCCTTTTTTAACTTGTTTATAATATTTAAAGATATTAAAAAGTAAATAATAATAACTATTTGAAAACAAGGTAGGCCTATTATTGTCTACTAGGCCTACACACTGGGCTCGCCACTGATAAATGTATGCGAATTTTAAGGTTTTTGAGGAAACAAGATGTATTGGAATGGTACGGTACGTGTCTGAATAGTGTGAATCATAATTAATCACAATTGTTTTTTAAAATAAAGTCAAGGCCACGTGTGAACGAAAACAAAAATATATATTCATAAATGTAAGCGATGTGTTACAACATTTTACATATACGTTATATCAGAAAAGTTGGAAAGAAGAAAAATTAATCTGATCGGTTTATCTGGGCCATGCGGATGAAGTAGCGTTTTATAAGCTTCACCATGAGCACGCGGTACTCTTCCTGATGGTGGCCATCGTCATCGTCGTTCGCATCATCGGCCAGGTCACGAAACTTTTCGAAACCGGCCGAGACGGACAGTAGACGCCGCATGACGCGCATCACTCCGGTTACGGTGGGCAACAAATTGAACGGTGGCGGCAGATCGTCCAGCAGCATGTAGTCCAGGTACACCTTGGTGCGGCCAAACAGCCACTCATAATCGGAGTTGTCGGCCACCCGCTGGAACGTGTCCGACATGCTAGCGATGAGCATGTTCAGCATGACGATCACCATCATCACCTCGAACGCGGCGAATAGCCCGTAGCCCACTAGCTGCGTGAAATCGTGACTCTGCACGTCCACGTCCGCGTCACCGCCGGCTATGGCGCTGCCGACCACCACGTTCGGTGCCTCCAGCGGCGTCATGCAGAATATGCCCCAGAACAACGTCTTGAACGTGTCGGCCACGGTGACGAACGAGTCCTCCTGACGCGTCACCTGCCCCGTCTCCGGGTCCTTGCGCTCCATGTCCTTGTACGGGCTGTACAACGTGCCCAGTCCGCACGTGAACGCCACCATGATGATAGCCAGGAACGTCGCGAACTTGCCGAAGTCATTCAGCATCTTACCCAACGATACTTGCATCGGGCCGATGTAATAGTTCAGCCGGCACAGGAACAGCAGCCGCAGGAATGCCATCACCGTGGCCACGGCGAACAGGCCTTCGGCCACCAGCTGCGGGTCGGCCCAGTGCCAGTACTTGCGGTCCAAGTCATCGTCCACCCAGCGCGCCTGGAGACCAGCCACGGCCCACGCCAGGTACGCCACGGTGAACAGCGTCAGCTTTACCGTGTCGAACACGTTCCACAGGTTTCCAAAGAACCGTTGCGGGCCCTGCAGCAGTCGCAGCTTGATCTTTTCGACCGCGTGGCTAATCACAAATACCGCTATGAGCAGCCACGGCACCGAGTCGATGGGCATACCGCGGCGCGTTTCGAACCTGTCCGCGTTTGACTGCACGAACAGCAGTGCCAGAAACACGCAGTACATAGCCAGGTTGTCGAACATGCGCTTGATGGGCAACCGGCTATCTCGGCTCATGCTTGTAGACGGTGCCAGGACGGCCAGAAGTATCGTCAACGGCAGCATGAGCAGCCGCCACGCGGGGTACGCGCACTTCCGCAAAGTCGAGTACGACTTCCACTCGATCCAGTCGCCAATCCACACGGACTCGAGCAACTGCTGAATGCTGCTGTGGCCCACGAACTCCTTCTGCTTGTGGTCCATGGCCGTGATCAGTCTCGGGTACGGGAACGCGCCTCTGAACTTGCACCCGTCCCGGTTCCGCAGTAACACCTTCACCTCATCGGATGTTCTGCAGTTGACAATCAAGCTTACCGCGAACTGTTTTACCTTTGCAGCGGTATAACAAACGGTATAGTACAAACGAAGTATGCAAATTAATATTGTACATGCGTGATCTATCGTAACACGTTATAAGGGTTGTAAAAACAATACTGCGGGAAGCAGAATTTGATTTCGCATCGTTACGATTGTTAATTATTATTATTATTATTTCGTTACGTTCGGTTGATAAGACACCTCTCTACACCACTAAAGATTTTTCCTATTAATATTTTTCGATTTTCGATCTTGTTGATTATTTAAAATATTATTTAGAGTGTTTAAAAGTATTAAAATGTATATATATGTATACAAACTTTGCATAGAACATACTAAATTAATACATGGATACCTCATGACAACAGAAAAACAACCTAAATGTAATACATGCGGAACTGAAGTCACAATCAACCATATTTTCACAAAATTTCTTCAGTACATAGATGAAATAAAAAATCCCAACATCTCCAACACCCTAGACGCAGCACTAGGGCCTAACACACACACACACACACCATCAACCAAGTTTGAATATTCTTAAAACATTGCAATTTATATAACTCAATATAAAAAAATAAAAAAATTTAATTTAAAATGTAACTAATGGCATATGTTTTCGTATTAAATTTAAGATCAATAAAAAAAAAAAAGATATATATATTTCACAAAAATTTAATTTGTATTTATTCGAGAATAAAATTATTGATAAAAATCTTTTGTTCGATAAACGGTGGGATACGAATGTGGACAAAAACTATAAATATTATGCTCCATTAAACTTTGCATATTTTTCGTATGTTTACGATTTGAAATTGCGTGATACATTTTTTTGGACTATAAATCTGGAACCAGATTGTAACGAAAAAAAAAGTTCCTGCCCTCCCCGTTGCACATCTAAAAAGCTACGAGTTATAAAAAGTTACCTGCAGTGCCAGTGACGTGTACGCGGTCTCGTAAACCTGTTCGTACGCCCCGCGCTCCAACAGTTCGTCGTGCAGTTTAAAGCACGCCAGGATCGGGTCGGTGGCCGACGTGCGGCACAGGTACGTGGGGCTGCTGAGTGCTCGGTACGTGTTGAGCTTCTCAGTGCCCGCGGCCACCACGTTGTCCATGGCTAAGCACTCATCACACATGCACTTCGGTGGGTGCGGCCGCTGTAACTTGTGGCCGCGGTTCAGCAAAAAGTCGACGGTCTCGTATCGGCCGCATAGCGCGGCCAACAGCAACGGCTTCATCGACGGTGGGAACTCTTCGGACTCATCGACAACACGGTCGCTTGCCACGTCGCTGCCGCCGGTTCTGTTCTCCTCGTAGTCCAAAAGTTTCACCAACAGTCCTAAGGTGTCATTTGTTATGGCGAACAACACCGAGTCACCTATTTGGACGCCTGCGGGACAACGCACCGTTTCGTTAAACCGTTGCTGGTAAAAATAGAAAATCTCGGCGCAACTTTCGACCGATCCCTTCGTGCGAGTTTTACGGGTTTAAAACTATCTTTGCGTTAGAAATTTAGAATTACCGCGGAACAACTAGAACTTGTTATTATAACGGCGACCGTGGCTCCGGTTAGCTCGGAATCATTTTAGGTTCCGAGTTTTAAACTATACCATTATGTGATTTCTATTTTTACACGATTTTGCCCATAAGGATTGCTTTAAATATCATAACTATCGGTAGTTTCTCGTAGGATATTAGATATTAGGTTCTATTACAGATGCCTACTAGTAAAACAGGTTCGGATGTAGACAATAAGATTACGAAACTTGCCTCTCTGACGTAAAAATAAATCAACCAGTGGTTCGCAGTCATGTTTTATGGCCAAGTGCAACGGTGTGATTCCTTGGTAATTTCGCATATTTATATTCACTCGATTGTCGGCCAAAAACTGTTCGACTCCCGATAGGTCGCACGTTTCCACCAATTCAAAAAACTGCTCATCCCGAGCCGTCAAATCGCATCCTAGAGGACACCATGACTCCTCGGGCATGATAATTCGGACATCATTCGACTGAAATCATAAAGTGTGAAAACAATGTCAGAATATGTCACACAAGGATAGTGTACCTACTCAGTAGCAGTATAAAATATTAATTAAATACTTACATTGTTGTCCATCGCTAGGGAATCAATAACTTTAGAACGATTTTGTTAACTTCGTTAACCTTTTATATTCTTTTATCTTGATATTTAACGCAGAACGAATAATGCTCGAAAACAAAATAATATCTGAAATAAATATAATTCTTTCCATCGACATCAACTAAGTTATGGTCGTCATGGATTGGTGGCATCGGTTTGCAAACGTAATATAAATATTAGCCAGAAAATCTATTATAATTTTTATGTATAAGTATCACAGCTAAAACACTTTTATGGTACTGTAGTTAACTTATTATATTTAATGTAGCTTTTCAGATGTGGTATTGTCGAAGATAGTCGGAATCCTTAAAATAATGGTTTTTAAAATCTAAATCGAAAAAAGGTTTTTATGTATACTAATAAGCTACAAGTATTTATTATGTTCGTGTTTTTTATTTTAGGTGTGCAGCTGATGAGATGACATTTCGTGGTTAGTATAATTGTAAACCGCAGAAAGTCCGATGAAGTGAACGTGTTACTGGGAACCTCGAATCCGTCCCGGTTCAGAGGCCCGTTCCCATATCCGTGACTGATCGTGATCATTGACCGCAAGCGGAATGAGTTTGAGGGCCACACCAACCTGCTGCATTTGCTGTAGTCCGCTTTGATCGGCTACTGGATCGAGTGAAAGTCGTACTCGACATTACGGGACTGGGTGTACACCCACGTGGCGGTTTCTAGGTCTGCCGTGGACGGTACTAACCGACCACGAACCGTGACGGTTGGCTGCCGATCAAGCAATAGCGTGGCCGCTTACTCGGTGTTTCTGGTAGTGCTCTTTGTGCATTTGAACGCGGATAAGTTCGAGACGTGCCACCTCGTGCTGAACTCTGTGTTGTTGGCTCTCGCGGTCGAGAAGATCAAGCTGTGGCTGCCGTAGGGCCTGCAGAGGTATTTCAGGGACTTGTGGAAGTGTTCGGCAGGGTACAGCTGACGCTGTTCACCGTGGCGTAGGTGGCGTACGCCGTGGCTGTCTGTTGGGCGACCGTTACCCAATTCATGCGCGTCACGCGGCGTCTGTTTCCGGCTTGACCGTTTACGAGGGAGTTAGTGATCACGTGGTAAACGACGGCGATAATGTCAGTCGCAGTACCGCGTGCTCGTGGCCGAGCTGATCAAACGTTAATTTGTCTGTACTACGCAAGTCGACCAAGTCAAATGATTTTTTTTTCTATAAATTAATTTTTCTACACATCGATTGGTTTTCGGAACTTACACTTAAAAATTAAACTCGTGCACCTTAACTTAAATTTTTATTTTAAATATATGTATCACTTACCACCACTCCGTATAAATGGGACCTTTACAAAACGTATTACTTACTCAACGTTTGAAACCTTTGCTTATGGTAAACATGTTACAATAGTCACTCGATAATTCGAAATTCAGGGTGACTGAAATAAAAATTCGATTTTTAGAGGTTTTCAATTTACCGAGTGTTCAAATAATCGAGGAAAAAAAATTAATTCGAATTAAAGATAGGTGAAAAATTATATGTATATATAACATTTATTAGTTGAAATGTATTTATTATATATATTATGTATTATATTTTGCATTTATTAAGTGACATTTATTTATTATATTATTATATTTTACATTTTAAAGAAATCTGTTATTTTTTTTTTTTTTTTTTTTGTATTAAATTGTTGGCCACAATCTGGGTCAATAGTGTTGTCTAACATACTGATAGCATTGAAAATTGTATCACGAATTATCGAGGGGACCGGAATACATGTATTTTCATCTAATTATAGAGCTTTTCTCAGGGGAATAAGCGTTTAGTTCGATTTATGGAGTTTTTCGAATTATTGAGTGATTACTGTATAACAATAATTATTATTTATATGAGTATTTTTAAAATAGTAAATCAATTTGAACATCCCAAAAATTGTTCACATTCTATTTGAAAATCTAGCGAAGTTCGCGTATCGTGCACAAAATATGAATGTAACATTTGGACGACGTTTTTTTCAATCACTGTATAGAATCTTATATATTAATATACGTATATGTATAAATATCGGTAAACGACGATAATCGTATGAATGATACGTCTCGAATATTCTACGACTGAAATTTGCGTGCGGTGATTGGGCTATCGTATATTTTAAAATCTATGTACGGTATAAGGTTATCAATTTTTTTTTAAATTTTTGTTCGTTTTCTGCACATTTGTGCGTCGGTATGTAATTGGCGATGCCTACGTATAGCCATTGTTTCGAACCACTAATCGTTAAAAACGGTAATACATGTTGATCGTATTAACATAATATATCTACCGCATATTATGAATTTCCGTTTAATCGTAATTGATAATACCTACGTGATGTAATTAGATATAATTACTATGTGTATAGTACACATATGTTTAAGGAATTCATTTTTCGACGTTTGATATTACAGGCAATTTACCTATTGTACGAGGTACTACTTATTACTAATACCTATATATACATATCCTTCGTCGATTATTGATTTTATTCAATTTCAAATTAGTTGAATATTTTTTACATCATTATTATCTGATCCGGTGACCATAACGAATCTCGTAAGATAATATTTATTATCATATATTACACATCGGAGAATAAATGAACAACGGGCTTGGTATCAATCCGTTATAAAGCAATCGCGTTCACACGAAAACGCGCTGAAACCAACCGAAACGAACCGGTATCGGTTCAAAGGAACGCAAGAAAAAGTGCATGCGGATATCCAAAAGTCATCCGTGGCAACGGTCTCGCGGCGACAGGATTCGCGTGTGCGATATCCGTTTCCTCGCGCGTCGCACATACATTTAAAGGCACGACGAACCCATGAACGTGGGCGCGTACGCGGAACAGCACGTCCGGGACGAGGACTTTACGTCGTGCGCGAGCGGTCGACGGTGGCGGCCGGGGGTGGCTTCGCACGGCGATTCCTTCCAAGACTCGAGAATGTTTTGTGATGCTAATACGCGGGCGCGCGCGCGCTCGAGTAAACGAAGAAAATTAAATTTCCACCGTTTATTGTACGTGGTCGCGCGAAACGGTGTTTGGCGAACGGAAACAGTCGACAAAGTCATCGGCGTCAAACTTGGCCGGGTAGCAGCAGCGCATGCATATTAATGACGGAGAACGCGCGACGCCGTGTGCGCGAATTGTCATCAACAAAGCTCTGCTCGCGCGCCCGTACTTTCGGCGCTCGTCAACTCTTCTGTCGTTCCCTCTTCGCCCGACGCCATCACACGTACACGTGCGGAATATAATGTTCTTCGCCGCTTATCCGCTCGTCCGAACCTCGTCTGCACCGGGTTTACACGTCTTGCGCCCGTGTTGTCGCCCTCATCGACCGTACATACAAAACGTCTTCCTCGTTATAAACTTCGACTGCCCGGTTGAATACTCTTCTGGGATTAACATTGTCCTCGCTCCCTATCCCTTTCCTACCCGCCAACCACTATCGCTCTCCGTCTCCCACTACGCGCCCCACGGCACACATTATTATTATTATTATTATTATTATTATTATTATTATGTACTTCCAAAGCATGGGGCTCCGTGTACTACTACTCTGTATATTACCACCATTATTGTTGTTGTTGTTATTATTATACATTTCTCGAACTATTAAAGCCGTTGTCGATCGGTCGACCATGTTTCGCGTTAGATAACGGCAATGCCTACGAGCACGTTGACTTCGGTATCTTCGGGAATATTGTACGCATCAACTATTTATAGTGATCTGGGCTTAGCTTTTCTTTGCGGTTTTCGTGCCGAGACGTTCGCCGAAAATTCTTTGTCAATCCGTTGTAGCGCGTTGAAATGCTCGGAAACTCCGCACGGTTCATTTCCCTACAGTCAATGTATACCAGTGTTTTCCAACATCGGGACTGTAAAAACGTTGTTGTGGGAGGGGTGGAGCTAAAGTGGTCAACACGGAGTATACTAATTATTATTATCAATAAAAAAGTCAGTCATCACGTAGAATACTATAGTTTATTTGTAAAGTATACAAAAAAAATAGATCATCGAACTTTTCAATTTATAAAGGGGACTTTTTAAAATTTACAAAGAGGGTATAGAAAACTAAAGTTTGGGAATCACTGTACTAAGTACATAGAATATTATATTCATATTATTATGATATTATATAAAGTATGTGTTGAAATTATTTATTAAATTATTTATGATATTTTGATAGTTCTTTTTAATGAACAATTTGTTATCTCTGGATAAAAGAAGAGTTGTCTTCTAGAACTTAACTTAATATTGACTGTCGATCAATAATTTCGTAAGTCAACCAAGTCCATCAGTCCACAGCAGTGAAATACGCAAAATTAAATTTACGATAAAAAAAAAAAAAAAACCATGAATTCCAGTGAAACTAATAGCGGTATGGTGAAGAAAAAATTTTTGATGGTTGTTAAGACGGGAAAAAAATCGCAAAATTTAAAAAGTCTTATTACAGTTTCCATTGTTCGAGAGTATGAAATTTTGGGTTCTGCTTCTAGTACAGTGAAAGGTAGCGGTACCCTATTTTTTATAAAATATTTGCTTTAACTTACCTTTATACTTACCTGTAATAAAAACGTTTGAAAATATTTCTAATAATCAAAACTATTGGGTATTCTTGCCACAAAGATAAACGTTCGTTTTTCCCTCTCCGTTAATCTGTTTCCAGATCACACTAGTACAGTTAAAAATAACCTTTATACGTGTAGATGTAATTTTTGTACGAATTTTACAACTATACTGGTAATCATATATATTTGAAACTAATAGAATACACACGTAAGGAAGATCACATTAAATACTTGTTCAAATATGTGCTATGCAACACGTGGTGTTCGTTTTCTTCACACCGCACGCAGCGGTCGCACCGGTCAGTGGTTAATAATGCACGTGTGACCGTGGGCATTTAGGGGGAAGTGCATCATTTTGACCACAGCTAAGCATCGGCCGGTTGTGACGTTGTCCACCTGAGGGCGAAATGTTTTAGTCCATCGTAAGAGGTTTAAAGGTTGCAACCGGACAAACCGTGTCGATAAACTTGTTTGGAAGAGGGTAAAACCTGGTAGGGGATAACCGATATCGGGAACAATATCAATTTGACTGGGAAACATCGAAGATGTTCACACAGTGTCGTATTTCGTGCATTCATTGTTAAAAAAAAAAAAAAT